AAGCCACATGTTCCCTGCCCACCTACCATGGAGGAACACAGAGTTCTACCTAATCAAATTACCAGTCTAGACAGACATTTATCTGTTAACAACACTCAAAGAAAAATCAAGCAAAATCAAAAAGCTATCTACTCTTCCTCAAAAACAAATCATTATTATAAAGGGAGCAAACATTTCAGAAACTCTTTACAGTCACACAGACATCAGAGAGGGGGAAGGAAGCATCAGCAAGAGCCATGTCAAGTGCCTGATGAGAGCATGAAAGCCAGAGACCTGCCTTGTGACGTTCCCTATAAACTTCACTGATGGCTACTGAGCTCCACCAACGTGGTGATTTCACATGGGGCTTTGAGCATGGTAGCACTACTGGGTACCACGACGGACACTGACTAACCATTGGGATGATGGACACACTCATGACTTCACTGGGAAGATGTCTGGGAACCACAAGCAAGTTTTGCAGCCTTGTGGTACCTTTGGTTTTCCATCTGAGGATGCTATCTACTGTCCTAGTTAGGATTTCTATTACTGTGATGAATCACCATGACCAAAAGCAAGTTGGGGAGCAAAGGGTTTATTACACTTCTACATCTTAGTTCATCATGGAAGGAACCAAAGGCAGGAACTCAAGTAGGGCAGGAACCTGGATACAGAAACTGATGTGGAGACCGTTGAGGGGTGCTGCTAAAGCCATGGAGAGCTACTAAATTTATAGGTCACTGCCATTAAATGCCAAACAATATAGCAGGTGGTTGGTTCTTCTACAGCTTGAGGGGTCCACAAATATTTCTGAAATTTTAAAAGCCAATTTAAGGGCTTACTAGGTAGGGATACTTGCCACCAATGCTGAAGGCCTGAGTTCGATCCCTGCAAGTCACGGTGTGGAAAGAGAGATTCAACTCCCACAAGTTGTCTTCTGGCTTCCACTATGTGCCATGGCATACATGCACCTACTCTCACATGTGTACTTATGTGTACAACACACACACAGTACTAGCTAGTTTTTATGTCAGCTTGACCAAAGCTAAAGACAAGAGGGAATCTCAACTGAGAAAATGCCTCTACAAGTTAAAGCTGTAGGCAGGCTTGTAGGACATTTTTGTAATTAGTGATTGATGTGGGAGGGCCCAGCTCCTCATGCATAGGGCTGCCTCTGGGCTGGTGGTCATGGATTTTACACAAAAGAAGTCTGGACAAGCTATACAGAGCAATCCAGGAAGCAGCACCCATCCATGGCCTCTACAGCAGTTCCTACCTCCAGGTACCTGTACTGTTTAAGTTCCTGTCCTGGCTTCCTTCAATGATTAACAGTAATATGGAACAGGAAGCAAAATAAACCCTTTCCTCCCCAAACTGCTTTCAGTCACGGTGTTTCATCACAGAAGTAGAAACCTAAAACACACACACACACACACACACACACACACACACACACACACGCAAATATATACATATAAAAAGAAAATTTTAAACCAAATTTAAATACCAATTTTCCCATTATTTTTCAACATACAATATGCCTCCATAATGATGGGCTGAAAGGGTGATAGAAAACAAACATCAAATAGGTAATTTTCTGGTTTAGTTGAAAACCAAGTTCTCCATAGATCATTTTAAAATTCATATTCCAAGCACCCATCTCAGACAATTTGATAGACATCTGGTGTCCAAGATCATCACTACACTGGACAGTTCAGTGACCCAGAACCCTAAGGGTTTCAGGATATAAAGAAGCCCTGGAGTCTTAATGAATGATTAAGGTTTTCTTTTAAATAGATCTTTAATGCGACCAATACATTTTTCATACACATCTCTGATCCAAGATGTGAATATGAAAGACGAAAAACCAAATTAGAATGTCAGTTCAAGTCAATAAATAAATCATGCCTTGGGGGGAAGTACAACTTCCCACAGCTAATGACATGAAAATGTGAGAAGAAAATGAAGTGTTTTCTGAAAGGTGTGGACTTACTCATGTGTCAGGATCATCCTAAATGGAGTCAGAGAGTCACAACTGCAAAGTTAGCAGCAATGTCCTGAACATTTCCAAGAGCTAGAAGCTAAGGTTTTGAATGCTTCCCTGAAAGAAACTAATAAATGCCTGATTCAGAGGGTATGCTAATGGCTGAGCTGTGTACATGAGCCCAAAAATGTCAAAAATTGCCATGCATTTGCACAATTATTATTTGTCAATTAGAAATAAGAAAGCTGAAAGTTCCGCCATACTGGGAATGACTTCATCTATTCCACAGAAGTTTACCCTGTTCAGTCTGTTCACTCTGTTGGCATATGGATCAATACAACACTATCTAAGCAAAAAACTCACACTGAGAATGCCTCTGTCAAGAGTAGCAACCAAAGGAAACAAAATTTCTGTTGTAGACACCTGAGTAAAGATCTAGATATACGGTCACAACCTTGATAAAATGGTCGCACACAAGGAGTTCTAAGGAAACCTCTGGGATTTGAGCTCAGCTCCTAAATTCAACCTTTACTGACATGTCCCAGTTGCTCAGTGCTCGGTTGTAACCCACTGTAAGCCTACAGTGTCTGAAAGCAGAGCATTGGGTGATTATGAGATCAAGTACAGCCAGGATTTGAGTAAATCAAGTTAGTATAAGCTTAACACGGTTCCAGACTGGGGCTCACCTTGAACAATAAGCATTCTGCCTTGCTAACAGACTGAACAGATTCAGCTTGGATATGTCTTAGAGACTTAACAGTGTCTATGTGAGTGCATATGCATTCCTCCCATGAATGAGTCACAAGCAAGGTTTACTCCTGTTCCTAGTTGCCATTGCTCTAAAGAACTACAAATAATATTTGTTTTTAAAAAACATAAGAGGCCCCTACTCCCACACACAAAGGAAAAAAAAATAAAATTTATTTCAAAACTGTAGACAGTTTTATACCTTCAAAATACCATTTTAGTGGAAGGCATTTGGGTGACATCATTTCACATTCCTTGTGGACTTTTAATAATCTGTGGATTGGGGCTGAAGAGGTGGCTCAGTGATTAAGAGCACTGGCTGCGGCCACCCCCAGAGGACCTGGGTTTGATTCCCAGTACCCACATGATGGCTCACAACCATCTGTAGCTCCAGCTCCTGACCTCCTTGGGTACCAGACACATATGGGGTGTACACACACACACTGCTCAGGCAAAATAGTCATACATATAAAATAATAATAAACAAATCCTTTAAAATAAAACCCCCCTCAATAATCCTTGTATTATTTTTTTCTGTCTCAAAGGCAACTCACTGCATCAATTGACTGTGTTCAACTTACTAACAACATGAGGGTGTACATATCTTATAATCTTTTCTCAAAGTGTCACTATCCCTAAGACCTAAAAAGTAAAGAGAAATAAATATCTATTATGAACCAACCCACAGTGTGGACCAAAGTGGACAAAGATGTCTCACTTCATTGAAATGGATTTTTACAACAACCTCCTCCCTGTAGGACAGACTTATAACCCAAGTCCAACTCCAAAGCCATGTTCCTGCTCTCCTGGCCCTTGTTCCTCCTGACTGGGGTGGAGAAGATACAGCAACCAGTCACCGCTGCGCTATTCTGTTGGTTTCATTAAACTGCTTGGCTTCAATAGTGAATATTATTTACTATAATTTAGTAGCCATCTTTCTTAGAGACAGGATCTCCCAACATTCTCTTGAGAAACAAAGAATTACAGGATTTTAACCCTGAGAAAGAGAAAATAAAAGAGTTCTATTTTCACACACACACACACAAAAGTCACCTTACTGATCACCAAGGAACATCTAGTTCCTCTGATTAACACAAACTAAATACAGAGTGACAGCAAGCACAGATGCCAGCAGACAACTCAAGTATTTAGTGAAATGAATAAACAATCAATTCATTTCCTTATTAATATATAATACTGGTTAGCTTAAATTTTCATAAACAAACAAAACAATTAGTACCTAAATTTAACACACATAAAAAATAAACTCATGGGCCATATTGCCTTCCTTTAAAGTGTATTCCTCTTTTAAATGGCCTTATTAGAGCTGGCAGTAGCAACATCTTCCCAGTACCCAAGGTCCATAACCTAGTCATCTCTAACCCTCCACATGTCTCTTCATCCCACCTTTGCTCGGCTTTCAAGCTGTTCATAATTCAGACTTTACTCCATCCTACCAGTCCCTCTCTGTTCTGAAGGGCACTTTGCTGCCCAGAAAAGCATCCTCCTTCCCATCTTCACAGATGCAGAAACACTCTCAGGACATCTGCAACCCCCACCTTGGTACCTTTGTGGAAAAAACCTGAATCCCAAACAGATTGTTTTTGCGATTCTCAGGACACAACATTGTCATGATTAAACTACCCATAATCCAATACTCTACAATCTGGCTGCATCAATCTCTGGCCCCAATCTTATCTCCCTTTGCTCCTTGACATTCACAATCAGATCCAGAGGCTGTTTAGTTTCCCAGCTGTGTGACTTTGCTGGGTTCTCATTATCTGGTGGGTCTTCCCTCTCTGCTTTTCTTGTGTGACAATCCTGCATTTCCTTTAAAGCTGAGTCCTTTAAAACTACAACTCCACAGCGACTCCCCAACCTGAAGCTGAGGGAATTAGCTTCCTCCTCAAATGGTAGACAGAACTCTCCTTGCACCTATTTTGCAATTAGCATGTTCTAGTCCAGATGTTATGGGTCTCTTCCATCTCCTACCAAATTCAAGCACTGAGTGGCCACACCTCTGCACCTCGCACCAGCATCTGTACCATCCTGGCACATACTGTGAGTTCAAAGACCTTTCAGTTAGATCTGCATTGCACTGTAAAGGTCACCAAAGGAGCAGACACTCCAAGCTGCATTACTTTAGCAATCTGGGGATTTACACAAAAATAAATGACATGAAATGTTTCAAGTGCTCAATGTCAAGTTGGAGAAAATTTGCCATCCTTGAATTTCAGAATTAAACAGACACACAGAGGTAGCATGCCCAGTGGTTTCCTGGGCCTCTTACTTTGCAGTAGACAATCATGTTGGGAGAACTCTCTTCAGGATCAGTGATCCCCACTGCTCTCTGGTCCCCGGATCCCTGAGCCATCTTGAATGTCTTCTCTCACACTGAAAACACAAGTGTGCACACCATTAAGTCAAGAATGAACTGTTTTTTTAAGGAAATCATTGAAAGGCAATAATCAAGTGTCTTTTGTCAGATATACTGGACATTCTATAACCTCAAAGCAAAAGGTCCTCTCCAGAGTCACATGCTCTAAGAGAGGATTTACGTCAATCTTAATCTCCTATCAGGAGATGAAGTCAATCATTTTGATGTCAATTTTGCCTTAACAAAGATCACTTTCTGGTTAATTCCTATACAGTAGTGTATGGATATTTCATTACAGAAATGCAAATCAAGATCCCCAAAACTTACCACTTTATAGCCACTCCAATTATAGTAACAATTAAAAAATAAAAAATTGAGTAACAAGTGTTAGCCAGGTGTTGGTGGTGCACACCTTTAATCCTAGCACTTAAGAGGCAGAAGTAGGCAGATCTCCAAGTTCAATGTCAGCCTGATCTACAGACAGCCAAGGACAGCCAAGGCTACACAGAGGAAACCCTATTTTGAAAAGAACAAACAAAAGAAAAACAAAGTAACAACAAAAATAAAGTGTTGACAATGAAACGGGTAAACAAGAACCCTCTAGATGGTAGGATGTCACATGGTGCAGTCACAGCATAAACAGTTTAGTGATCTTCAAAAGTGAAATACAGAATTAGCTTGTGACCTAGCAATTCCACTTCGTATGTGTACCCCAAGACTGGGAACAAATACTCAAATACTAGCACTAAAATATTTATAGCAGTCTTAGTGGCACTAACCAACAAGTAGAAACAACCCAGATGTCCACCAATGCATGAATGGAATATTATTCATCCATAAAAAGAATGGGTTCTGATATATGCTACAATGTAGATGAACCATAAAAAAATTCTGCTGCATAAAAGCAGCTGGTCAGGAAAAAAATTATATATTTGGGGAACTCCATTTATCTAATGCACCAGAATAAGTAAATTTACCAAGACAGAAAACACTAGTGACCGACAGCATAGGGAGAAACAGGAATGGCATGATTATTTTGCAGACATGGGGTCTCCTTTGGGGAGGATGACAACATTTTGAAGCTAAAGAAACATGAAGGTTGTAGATTACTATGGATTACTAAACGCTACTGAATTCTGCATTTGAAGAGGAGTGATTTTGTGTTATGTGAATTTCACCTGATTAAGGAAAAGTGAACATGTTTAATTCAACCTTTTTGAAAGCCTGTAAAATCAGCAGTAAGACAATGGCATGCATATAAGACTTGGGAGAAACCAGCTGAGCTCAGTTCTTGGTGTGACACTGCACTTGTCGGGTGAGCCTGAGCCTGAAGATCCTGCGCCAGTCAGGATCCTGCCTCAGAACCAGGGGACCTTTCTCCACATCCCACCCAAATTGGAGGGCCAGTCCCCCAGAGCTCTCACAGGTGAGCTGGTATGAGAGAATACAGTGCAAAGCCAGAGAAGTCCTTTCTAAATGTTATCACTAATCTAAGAGCCTGCCAGAGCTATCCACACAAATTTCATGGGCTCTTTGTCAAAGAAACTTGGATAAATACCATACTTAAAAGGCCACTGGGTTCACGAGAAAAACTCGGGGAAGATCCTATCATAAACTACTTTGGTACAAAAAGTCATTCTATAAAAAACAAATTAGGGTGGAAGACGAGAAAGAGATGGGAATCAGTAATTTATGCTAAGAATGTTATTGCCCAAAACCACCAATTCAGAGTGGAGGCTTACTCTACATTGTTTGACTTAGAACGTGCTTTCAAGCCAGACTGCATGAAAGATTTCAAGCCAGATTGCCGAGGCTTGCCCTACTCCATCACTCTTGGTTGTGTACAGATGGCTATGCGTAGTGTACTACAGGGAAACCCAGAGTTTTATTCTAATCAGTGACTTTTTTTTTTTTTTTTGGTTTTTCAAGATAGGGTTTCTCTGTGTAGCTTTGGAGCCTATCCTGGCACTCGATCTGGAAACCAGGCTGGCCTCAAACTAACAGAGATCCACCTGCCTCTGCCTCCCGAGTGCAATCAGTGACTTTTAAAGTGAACACCTACTTGCTTGCCTGCTCCTCTTCCTTAATATAGAATATGACAGAGTATGAGAAATAGAACCCAGGGACCACCTGTAAAATCCTTGTTTATTCATAGATGGAGCCCTGTAGGGTTTCGAATTGCTTTCTTTTAAAATAAATACTTTCACTTTAATCTGCCAGTTCTGTTAGAATAGGAAAGTTAGTAATGACCTAGAAACAAACTTCACAGTCTTGTGTCTTTGCCCAGCTGCGCCTGCCCCAAGCCACTACAGAAGTGTCTCTGTGAGCTCAGTTAGGCTGATGTTCTGGGAACTGGAAGCAGCTGAGTTAAGGCCAAGTACGGGGTAAAAACTTAGTGTGTCTAGTACTCATGAGGAAAGCTTCTATTTTTGGTTTTTCTATCAACTAGTTTTGAAACTCAGACAAGATGTCTGATTTTTCTAGGCCTGGAATGAATCGATTCTAAAATAGTAATATAGCTACCTGCTGGCTCATAGGTCAACAAAAGTCAGAGAGAGCTGTGTGGGCCAGGACTTTATCAACAGACTCACTGATGATAATGCTGAGGGAGCTGGGGAACAGACCTTAATTCATCAAATATGCTTACATTGTTTCTTTTTAGTGAAGACAACAGAAATGAAATGAATGGGAACATGGGTGTCTGTGGGGGCCTGTGTGTACAAGGCTGCACATATGTGTGGGTATACAGGCATATGGAGATCAGAGGAAAACCTGGTGTGTCACTCCACTTTTTTCTGAGATGGAGGCTTCACTGGCCTGGAACTCACCAAGCAGGGAAAGTTGGCTGACCAGTAAGCCCCAGGGATCCTCCTGTCTCTGCCTGCCCAGCAGTGGAATCACACACATGTATGTTACCATGTCTAGCTTCTTCTTCTTTGGGTTCTAGAAGGTAGAAATCAGGTCCTAAAACATTTAACTGAGCCATTCTCTTTCTCAATGGGGTGTTTTAAATTTCATAGAAAAAATAGAATATTCATCATCGTATATGCATGTGTCTAAGAAACAGCAAAAAAAGGCCAGAGACTTTTATTATGATATTTTAAGAGTATAAACATTTTCTGAAAATCAGTTCATTTCCATAGGAAGCAAGCACCCTAATAATATTTTCCCATCATACCTCATAGAGCAAGAAAACAACTGACAATGTACTCAGATAATGCATTCCAATCTCCACAAAGAGACTTACAAGCCAGCCTCTGCCATCAGACTGAACACAGGCTCCCTTCCTTCCTAGCTGTGTAATCCAGGGCAAGTTACTTGCCCTCTCTGTGTCTGTGTTTCTTTGTCCATCACAAACCACCCTCTGCAGAGGTAGCAGAAAGCCTTCTGAACTGGAAAGCCTGCCTGGATTCCCCAGGCTTGGCAACTAATGAATCGCATCAGGCCATCTACTCCAGACCTGTGTTTGTAAAAACCAGCATCCTTAGAATTCCTTCCCACTATGATATAGAACCTCAGAACTTACGATCTCTTAACTGTACTTTAAGGACTTTTTCCAGAATGTTCCATGTTGGTCAACATCAGTACTTAAAAGCAAGTCCATTTTTCTCCATTTCATGACAGTGCTGGGCAGAGCATTCTCTAACTCAGCAGATGCAGATACACATGTGTACATGCACACACACACATACACACACACACACACACACACACACACACTGCTGAGCCAAGTGGGACCACAGAAGAACTTGGGAAGGGAAGAGGTTTGGGGGTCAGCCAGGAGTTCTATCTCAGCACTGGCCTCTCTGAGTTTTGGGCTTTGGCATTTGGACATCACTCCAGGTACCCAGATCTTTACTAGCAAGAAGGAATGTACTACACCGGCTTGCTTCTGAAGAGGAACAGGGAGAAGCCATGTAAGTGATCTGACAATGGTGACTGTACAAACTTACGAACTGGGGAGAATCTCAACTGATAAATTACTTTCTTTGCAAGCAAGAGGATCTGAGTTTAAAGCCCACAGCCTTTGTGAAAAAGCCAAGTATGGTGACCTAAGCCTGTTAGCCACGGTGCTGGGAAGGTCATCACACTTATCCCTGGGGCTGACTGGTGCCAGAGAGACGTCCTTAAAAAGACAAGGTAGACAGTGCAGGAGGGTGGACACCTGGTGTTGTCCTCTGACCTTAGCATGCATGTGTACACATGGGTGCCTCCTCATACATGAACAGAGATAGAGAAAGCATTGTCATGTTTAAAGCCAGGGTTTATCCAGGTAAAATCCCCAGGTCTCCTATATCAAAATGGAGAAAAACCCCTCCATACCAGCTCCCCAGTATTCTGAGCGCATGCAGAACCAATTTCACCTCCTCGGGTAACAGTGGTACTACACTAAGAGGAGTGCACCCCCAGTCATGAAACTATATCACACAAAGCCTTGAACATCAGGCCTGACACTCCGGGGACCCATCCCGCAAACCCCCAAATCAAGGAAGTGTCAACTAGAGAGAAAATCAAATCCTGGCTGTGAAAGTGGTGGAGTATTTGTGTCATGAACAGAAGCTGCTGTTGACATCATTCCTCCTCCTCCATGTTACATCAGCGGATTGTGGCCCTCCACCCCCTAAAACCAATGGCTTCTTTTTAAAGATGATCGATGTTAAGCGCCTCTGGAGAAAAAAAAAAAAAAACTGACAAGCTGTGTGCTAGCTCCATAGTACAAGCTTGTTTACACAGCTCTAATGTGACTGAGTGGGCAGGAACCTCAAGAGGAAAGGCTGAAAAACAGTGCTAAGAACAAACAACTGTTTCTGTTACCATGATCGGCTGATTTGGCATTTCTTATACACTTAAGGTTCATAGGCCCAATGATGGAGCAGCTTTCTGTTTGAAGGACTGCATCCAAAGTCTCAAAGCAGGGAGACAGTGCGCAACTCCTGAAGGCCAATATTGGGAACTCTGCCAGGCATCTGGTGTTTTACTGAGATATAATTGTCTGGTCATTC